GTACATCAAATTCACTATGTGGCACAATCAGTTTTTTCTCTTCTTGAAGGGGATTATCCCTTTTTTAGGGCACAAAAAGAGGAAATATCCAAATTATTTATTCAGCTTCTTATCTATACCAATTAAAATTATTTGGGTGGAGAATAATCACTTAGATATTAAAAAAACAACAGTATTTTAAAACATGTTTATTTTGTTTAGGATTATCAAATCCCCTTTTATTCAGATTAGTAAACAATATTCTGAAACATTTCCACATACAGATTAAAAAACGGATACAACTTCAGTCTGCAAATGAAAGTATTTTTGAACACTTATTGATTCATAACATTAATACAAACTTCATTAATTTTATTAAATATTCCAAGATGTTTCCTTATCCAAATGATTTACCTTTAATTTGGTTACTTGATAACATGACAACTTTTTTTAATTAAAAGATATTTCAAAGGACTTGAAATACTTAAATGTTCACACTTTTCAATGTTTTAAAACATTCAAGTACATGGTGTATTATATTGTATAAATCATTATTTTCTTTAAATCTTGGGGAAATTGAAAGTTCAAGAAGGCAACTTGTCCACCATTATTTACTTGTTTCCTATTATTAACCATGAAGCCATTGGTCCTTTTTGCAAAGTAACAGATCTAGACAGATTTAAGTTTAGGATATAGTTAACATATCTATTATGCTAGAAAAAATAAAGAAGGTGGGTGGTTTCATACATTCAATGTACTTTGAGAAGAAACAAAATTGGGTTTTGATCTAAATTTTTCCTGAATATTTTCATCAAACTGTAAGACTCAGTTTAAACCATAATTTTTGGTAAATCATGTTCAGCTTTGAAGAAATAGCACAAAGATATAATATGAAAATCAAGACAGTGCATGAGCAAGACACAAAAATTTAGCCTTAAAAAGGTTACCCACACCTTTTAAATTCTGGAAGCAAAGAAACCAATGTAGTGCAATTATGCTAGAAAAACCATTGCTGCTTATAAGGCATAGTGCAGCTGTTGGAAGAGAGGGTTACAGTGACAAACAGCTTCCCTGCTACAAAGGTGGCAGGAAATCTATCAAACTGGACAATAAAATTGCAATTGAGTTTCTTTGGCTTTTTATAGCAGCTGCATGTATCTTGATGTGTAGCTCTGCAAAATCTATCCAATTCTGCAACACTAGTCCGTTATACACTAGTTCTTTATCAAAAAATGGTATTATAAATTGGGGGTTAAAGGGCTGTAAAAAGGAAAAATAAGCATTAATTCCCTACAATTAAAGATTAAATGAAAAAAATGGTTATTTCCTCAACAATATTAAGAAAAAAATATTTGGGTCTCTATGATTGCTGGTTCCATAGTACTTTGAAAGCGTGCTAGAAATCAAACAAATCATTGACGCACTTAGCATCTAGCAATATACCAACTGAATTATTTCTACACTATTATAAAGTCATACAAAATAAAGAGTCTAGGTAATTTACAAATTTTTTAAAATAAGTGTATACTAGAGTATCCAAAATGTAAGTTAATTAGGAAAAACAATTTTAAGAATTCATAACCAATTGAATATTAATATCAATGCTTAAGGCACACACACCCCACACACGTCGTCATCTCTATCCTTATAGCACTAGTTGCAGTGTAAAATGTAACCATTACCTTTACCAAAAGGTAATTTAATCTGAAATAATTAATAAATGATTAATCAGAATAAGGTTTTAACAGTCCTATTTATTTAAAAAAAAATCTTAATTCTTGCAGCAGGAGACTATGAAGACAACTTTTTAGGACCAGTATTCAACAGACTGAACTATTCCAGATCTGGTTTAACTGTTTCAAACCCAGAACACATTCTGCAACCCACCCCACTTATTCACCCACTCATCTCTCTTCACCCCCACCACTGACCTCCCCTGCAATGCAAAAAAACCCAGGGGAACAAACGTTGGACACTTAACACAACAGATTTGGGCTTTGGAAAAGTGAAGCTAGAAGTCTATTCCACAGCTGAGGACCCCTCAATAGGAATTTCCTGGCTGCTAGCCTGCTTCATGTTGGAACTGGGCAACAGGAGGGCGGGGTGGAGGCTCAAGCACCTCAGATCCCATTTGGTATGGTATCGCATGGTCCTATTCAACATATCCATAAAAATCATCTGGAAAACGGGGTAAATAGGGAGGTGGCAAAATTTGTAGTTGATACAAAACTACTCAAGATAGTTAAGTCCAAAGCAGACTGAGAAGACTACAAAAGGATCTCACAAAACTGGGTGACTGGGCAACAAAATGGCAGACGAAATTCAACATTAATAAATGCGAAGTAATGCACATTAGAAAACATAATCCCAACTATACATATAAAATGATGGGGTCTGAATTAGCTGTTACCACTCAAGAAAGAGATCTTGGAGTCATTGTGGATAGTTCTCTGAAAACATCCACTCAATGTGCAGCGGCAGTCAAAAAAGCAAACAGAATGTTGGCATCATTAAGATAGGGTTAGATAGTAAGATAGAAAATATCATATTGCCTCTATATAAATCCATGGTACTTTCACATCTTTAATAGTGCCTGCACATGTGGTTGCCCCATCTCAAAAAAGATACATTAGAATTGGAAAAGGTTCAGAAAAAGGCAACAAAAATGATTAGGGGTATGGAATGGCTGCCAAATGAGGAGAGATTAATAAGACTGGGACTTTTCAGCTTGGAAAAGAGACTACTAAGGTGGATATGATAGAAATCTATAAAATCATGACTGGTGTGGAGAAAGTAAATAAGGAAATGTTATTTATTCCTTCTCATAACACAAGAACTAAGGGTCACCAAATGAAATTAATAGGCAGCAGGTTGAAAAACAAACAGAAGGAAGTATTTTTTCACACAACGCACAGTCAACCTATGGAACTCCTTGCCAGAGGATGTTGTGAAGGTCAAGATTATAATAGGGTTCAAAAAAGAACTAGATAAGTTCATGGAGGATAGGTCCATCAATGGTATTAGACAGGCTGGGCAGGAATGGTGTCCCTAACCTCTGTTTGCCAAAAACTGAATGTGCGACAGGGGATGGATCACTTGATGATTACCTTTTCTGTTCATTCTCTCAGGGGCACTTGGCATTGGCCACTGTCAGAAGACAGGATACTGGACTAGATGAACCTTTGGTCTGACCCAGTAGGCCATTCTTATGTTCTTAACTAAGGCCCTTTCAGATAACTAGAACCAAATCCATTTTAAGAATGTAGCAGTATTTGCATCATCAAGTTCTTGTTTTCAGAGATTTTATAGCTCATCCAGAATTTATTTTTGAATATTTAGCCCCTATAAGGTCTCCTACAAACATTTGGGTTTTCTCTACATATTCTGGAACAGATGGGTTAGTCATTTTGAGTTATAGGTATGAAATAATATATATTAGTGACCACAAATCCATTTCACTGTTTGGATTTTAACACTGTATTTTATGTTTAACTTTACCAACCATTAGTTCTCATTGCATACTGCTTCTTTCTCCACACACATCTCACAAACAAAAACTTCAAAACAACCATGAGTTAATTTTTACAGGTATTGTTTAGAAACTAGGGGCATACTCCTCAGGTATGCCAAAGCTGCATGGGCAAACTTCAGGCAAAGGGGTGGCTTTATGCACATTTCTGCTTACCCCGATCCTGGGGGCAGCCAATGGCTGGTTCAATTCCCAGAAATTTAGAGCAGCCTCAGAGCTGCTTAAAATTATGGTAACTTGTAACAAAACTTCAGTGGCCTTTACCCTGGTCACAGATTGCAGCCCACTCCACCTACACACCGCTATGCTGATGGGAATGTTTCAGGTTTGATATTGAGCTGGCATAGCAAAGGATTAACGCATCACTATGTCACTGGAGCCACATTTTGGCATGGATTAAGATCTGGCCCCAGATCCTTTGCACCTATAATGTCATGAAATGTTCATTGACTAAACATTGGTAAGCATTTTTAGTATATGGACTTTTATTCTTCTCTCTCGCACATAACCACACACAATAGATTATTGAGCTGTTTATTGGATCAATAATCAGTGATCTACAAGATAAACCAATAGTGCTGTTGTGGTCTAAATAGATTGACACTTTCTGAGAGGAAGTTAATCCACGTAAGGACAGTAACGTGGGATTAAGATGTGCAGTTTTGTATGCCCTCTATACGTGGGTAAGACACACACTTTTAAAAGTATGTAATTTATAATTTACCTGTCTGAACACAAGTTCCACAGCTTTTTATGTTAGACTTTTTTCTTTTCTTGGTGCAGGGAAAGAGAAATGAAGTGGTGGCTTTTTCTAGTTCTATAGCTCAATTTGAAAAAAAGAGTTACTAATAAAATGCGTTTTGCAGTGTTGCTCAGGTTGTAACAAGCCAACAAAAGCCATGAAAGAAGGAAGGCTGGCACCTGTATTCGGAAAATTGGGATTCTCCTTCAGCCTCCTTACCTTCCTGTCTCCCTTCATGGCTTTACAGATGGAATGTTAGCCTCTACTCGGATTTCCTTAATTTCATGGATTTGTTTCACTGCCTTTTGATGTTACTAAAAGGTATTTTTTGTCTATGAATAGATAAGGTGCGCCACCTTGTGTTAAAAAACTTCATGCTGTTATTAATGCACAGAAATCCAGCACTAAAACACCACTGAAACGCTGATTAACCGGCCCTAGGAAATGTTTAAATGCCATTTTCACTACAAGTGAACACCATCATGCCATAAGCAACAGAAAGAATTTTGTGATTAAAGTATTCTGACAATAAAAAGTCATTCAATTTTCAAATGTGACAAGCCATATACTGAACTTCAAGTATATGCTATTATAGACTATTCAAGCCACCAAATTTCTACTTATTAAAATAACTTATTTCTACTAGAAGACTTTTTTATTTGACCCAGTACTTAAAGGCTCCAAATTTCATTAGAGAGTACAAAAAAAAATTATTGCAATTTCCAGAATATTTTTCCAAGAAACACTCACCTTTGAATGTGTGATTGACAGTGTATCCACCCAAACTCGCCAGCCACCCCACTCATATTTGACTGCATGATAAAGCAAGATTCTAAAAATGGCATACACCATTTCAGTTATCTTCTGCTCTTCAGAGTTCTTGGGGTTGAAATAGCAAAGAGAAAGCATCCACTCCTGCCACACTGAGCACTGCAACAAGCTCCTGCAAAACACATACTCCTTCTGCTAAATCACATCTCAAAATGGACAAGCATATTAAAACATACAAAGATCATTAAACTTTGAGACCACACATAGCCGGTGACGAATTTAGAATATGTGAAAACACTACTGCATGCAAGCTTCTCTAGCATTACATGTATAAGCTTAATAGAATACAACATTTGTTAAATAACGTGGCCTAGACATGGTAGCCTAATGAAACTATTTTAGCTTAGTCCGAACAGAGGACAGATTTGTAAGACATTGTTAGTTACATACGGTCTTTGTATGCACATGATGAGCCCTCTTACCTCCTATTTTCTCTGCTGTTATTAAAAAGTTTAATCATGTCTGAGAGAAAAGCTCGACGAACCTCCAGAGCTTCCGGGCACTGGGGAGAGTTACGTAGTAGGGTCGCAATTACTTTCAATACCTCTGTAAAACAGTTCACAAGTACATTTTAAAAACTAGAAATAAAGCACATCAAGTATTGGAGCTTATTAAACTACATTCACTAACAGGAAACATTTTGGTAACAGTCACTTTATGAAAAACTAACTTGTAAAAATATATTTGTTTATACAAAGAAAGAAAAGCATCTCCGCCAGGGTCAAAGATGCATCTAAGTAAAGAAGAAATATATTGCTTCCTTCTTCCAAAGACTTCCATGACTATTCCTCTTCAGTGGGATTTTCAGACAGGGGCACTCCCAGAAATTTTTCACATGGTACACACAAATTTAATTTAGCCACCCATATTTGGCCCAGCTTACCCTCCATCATGATTGCAGGGGTGCACAGGCCAAATTTCAGAGAGTAGCATTGCAAGCTGGCATGTGGGGTTGTGTGCCACTCAGTTTGGGGGCCCTGGAGCAAACTGCCCCTTTTGCCCCTGCCAATGATATGCACCGTGCACACGGCTGCCGGCACCACTGTTTACAAATGCATTCAGTGTTGGCCTAGTTCACAGTGGGAGTGGAGTTAGGCCATTATCTAAAATGTTGGAATTAATGATGATTAGGGTTTAATAATCTAATACCTACTGATGACTGGTTTAAAAGGAAATATCAGTATTTACTGACGATCTTTAAGAACTATGTTCTCTGGAAGACTAGGAAAATACCAGCTGATGAATCACGTTATAAAATAAACATGAAAGCCAGGTGTACTCTAAGTTTCTCTCTTTGAATATCAATTATACTGAATCAATAGAATGTTAAGGGTTTATTTTCAATCTTAAAAATAGTTTCAGTTGTAAAAACAATGAAAGTTTGAAAAAAATGGTCTCTGGTGAATTTTTCACCCCCTATATACACACATTGGTTTGTACAGTACTTTTTGGGGGAGGGCAGAACAGAGACACACATTCTGATTTTTGGGAAGTGGGGTTGGTAAGAAAGCCACAGTTTTTATTACTTTAAGAAAAAACTGAATGAATTTTGAAAACAGACAAAATAGGTCAGAATTTATTTCTAGTCACTTTCACAGTTTCAATTCAGCTTCTAAATTAAAGTTTCAAAAACATTTTCCCTATTTAATAAAATATAAGCACTGACCTCATGAGTGCGTTCAGGAAAAAGTTACCATTCCTTACATGCCTGAGTGAGTCCAGACTCCTAGGTAACAGTTCTAGGAAGTCTGTGTTAATCTAACAGGGACTCTGTCAACTTGAATGAACTGAGTATATGGGATTTAGAAACAGACAACTCAACCCATCTCTATCCCACCAAGATGACACCATTAATTCTCACTCCCTACATTGTAAGCTTCCTGGAAGATGTAGTCAATGTCCCCTAAACACAGGTCATTTTCCTCCAACTTTATTTTCCTTCCCCAGACTCTGAAGATAAAGATATCTCCATCTTTATACTATTAAATCACAATGCAACTTTAAAAGTGAAAATTTAAACTTATCCATGAATAATGGAATACCATAACTTCATTATATATCACAAACACATATCTCAAGAACAGAAATTTGTCCTTCATGGAAGTTCTTAAGAAATCTAAAGTCTCAAATCAGGATTTTTTTCCTACACAGAAAGTTACCCTAAACAATATAGTAAGCAGATACATTTCTTCCACTCCAAATCTGGAGTTTCTGCACTGAACGTAATTTAAGATGAATGTTATTTCCATACGTCATGTAATTTAGTCTGACATCACTAAATAACACAATCAGAATTGCACTGAAACCTGAAAAGGTATTAAATTAAAATACTCTGGGCATAAAAATCTTGAAAAAACATCTCATACCATCACCACCACATAAAAAAAAGGGGTCAGTACTAAATTACGTATACATTTAGACACAAAACATCTTTCAAAAAGCAGGAGACAGGCATGTTTCCCAATTAACTCCAACTAAACATGCATTATCTCCCCTCTTGCATGAATGATTCTGTAAAACTAACAGACCACAATTCAGACTGCTGAACATAATTAATAAGCTGTTTTTTTGTTTTGTTTTTTTAATTACAAACATTTTTAGCTTAACAGTGATGTAATTTAAAAGATATATAATGCTTACGAGGATTTTGTATCTTCACTGTTGAATCTGGGTCAGGATGCTGTTTATGTATTACTTGAGTGCAAATTTGTTCAATAAGAATCTGGGGGAAGGAGGAAGAAACAGTGTAAGAACAGCTATTTAATCTTCACTAAAAAGCTTGCTGGAGTATGGTTGATCCCCTTGCTTATCATAAGGTTTTCTACAGTACCCATCATATCATCTTAGTGCTAAAATTGTACTGAAGTTTCCTTGTCATAGGTTTTAGTAATTGAATCAATCTTATTTTTAACACCAATTTTCGCATTTTCTGAGACACACAATTGGTATTTTAATTATAGTGGAAGAGTTCCCCTAAATTTAATCAAAGTTACAACAACCTTAAGCCATGATATCAAGTGGAATGAAGCTCTCAGATTAAAAGTATGTACTTTGATTATTTAATTTAACAGTTATTTTTAAATGATTCACAATGAGCTACTTCTATAAGTAAATTAAGCAGAACTTCCAAAGTAGTAAGCTTCAGAAAACTTTACTGCATCCATAGCTAAGTTTCTAGCATCATCTGGAAAATATCAGCACAAATATGCAAGCAATTTTATAATATCTTCTAAGTAATTAGGAAGATTGGATTCTAACTACAGTCTATTACTACCTCAAACAGGACATTGTACGTGGTCATGGTGATTAAGCCTGTATGAAGCATCAGCCTTTCAGCCAGCAAAGAGAATAATCCATGTCCAAGCATGACTTCAGCTTTTCTCCTAAAATAACACAGAAAGGCAGATAAAGTAAATTAGGGCATCTCTAACTTGTTAGGTATGTGTACACCAGAGCAGTGCTAAATTGGTGAAAGTGTTTCAGCATTTTATTTTGTAGCCTCTCGGTTCTGGGGAAGTTGGGACACAGGAACCCTCATCTGCCAAAGGTAACAATCAAGCCGCCCATTGGGGCCTGCTGAAAGCATGACTACTGGATGGTTCAGTCTCTGAGCCTCTGGGTATTTCTACACTGCAATCAGAACTGTGGCTGCAGCACATGCAGACCTATCCAAGCTAGCTAGCGCAAACAATCGCACTGAAGCCACAGCAGCACACGTCAGCCACTCAAATACATGCCCAGAGTCCTGGGTATCCAGCCTGTGCTGCTGTGCTCTCACTATTACTGACATTTAAACTAGCAAGACCAAAGCTAGGGCAGGTATGTCTACACATGCTGCAGTCACACCTCTGACTACAATGTTGACACAGCCTGTGACAGGGGCCACTTACACATTGTGTGCCAACATCCTACCACCAGACCAAAAAGCTGGACCCAGACCTTGCGGGACCCTTGAAAATGATATAGGGAAGAGCATAACCCTCTCCATTCAGCTCACAAAGATTATTTGACCATGAGCATTAGCTGATAATTATGTTAACTACAGTTGCAGCAAAGTCCACTCTTTAAATAAATTGGTGGAAACTAGTGTTGCACTTTCTGCTGCAATTGGACAACTATAGAACTTCCAAGATCAACAATAAATGCTGAGGGCCAGTGTTTCAAGACAAAAATTGAAAGACCTATGTAAAGTTCATTCTCCTTGCCACTTCTCAAGGTGGATGTCCTAATTACAGACAGATGTCTGTAGGTTAACAGAGACCAGGTGGCTACATATCTGTGTTCTGGGTGGCTGAGGCATAAGAAAAGGGGAGCAGCAAAAATAAATTAGGATGGATTAATTTTAAAGATAAATCTAGAGTTACCAACCCAGTTTAGGTGGCTTAAGAATCTCTTACTTTATTCATCTTCACTATAAAGTTGGCAAGAACATCAAAGTGAATATTTACAGAAATGTTTCTGCTGTATGCCCAACAAAAAATCCTAAATACCGATGTGTTTTGGATCTGAGCTCTGGCAACATCAACTCATTAACTTAAAGTTTTAAATCACATAACCGGTCAGAGGTACTTTGTTATGCATATAGCAAAAATGCTGGGTTGCAAATACTCACATTAATGTTTTTGCCAATTTTAAAATAAAGATAAAATAAGACACTTAAGATACCTTAAATTGAGTCCAGAGTTGGTAATATTTGTTGCTAATCTCGCTATTCTAATTGTTACTATATATTTAGTTGGAACTATGCAAGCAGGTTGTGTTAAAAATATAAACCTATAAACTAGGGTGACCAGATGTCCTGATTTTATAGGGACAGCCCCGATTTTTGGGTCTTTTTCTTATATAGGCTCCTATTACTCCCCCACTCCCTGTCCCGATTTTTCACACTTGCTGTCTAGTCATCCTACTATAAACTGACATGTCACAAATCACTAGGCAAGCTTGATGGGAGAGCCTTTTATGATGCTATGACACAATTGTAAGTAATTCCACTAGATAGGGAACGGATTATAAAAAACAAATTGAATGACACTGAAGAAAACAGTACCTACCATGGGCTGAAGTGTGTATTCTGGATGCATGCCAACAGAACACTTTAAATATGTATAACATATACAGAAACAGTACCTTTTCTTCAGATTTAAACCAGTACTTACTTAGGTGCTAGATGTTTTAAGAAGTAGCCCATCACTTTTAGAGCTTGTACCCTGATCCCTTCACTTTTTGATGCTAGAAGTTTGTAGACAACCCTAAATGAAAACAAACAAAACACCAAGATTGCTTGAAATAGCAACTAAGAGAGAGTTTCCACACTGACAAATTAACTGAAGCACACTGCAAACAAGTTTGTACCTTGGTTGAAATTAAAGTGACAGATATTGATAAGCTTTACAAATATGGTATGACATTTTCCTAAATTATGTAGTACTTTGTACTAAAATTTTAAAGCTATATTTGGGAATTTTGAAATCCAAATTCTGTCAGAGTCCCTAAAAGTGTCAATTGATATGAAAACAGTATCTGTGAAAAGGTCATTGTAATTTCAGTACTCAAATCTGTCTTTAGCTGATATCTCACTCAGGCTACAGTACAGAAAAGCAAACAAATTATGTTTGTTGTACCGTCAAGACAGCTAGCTACAGAATAGCTGCAAAAAGCTTAAGTTTCATAATTGGGTGGACATTTGCTAACAGTATTAGTATTTGACATTTGTATCCCTTGCTAGTCCTTTATGACAGCTTTCAGAAGGATGGCAAAAAAACTATGTCAGCTGGCATTCTTTTCATTACACTTATACCGGTTTCCTTAGATTATTTAATTAAAAAAACACAGTTAATGAAAAAACACATTAGAATCTTAGCAAAGCTGTCTTACATACAAAATTGCATATGCACATATACTCCCCCTTCTTTCTGGAAGACAGAAGGTATTATTCCTCTGTCATTGATCTTTCTTCAGATCATACTGGCACTTAACATAAGGAAATCCCTATTAGCTCTGGAACATGCATTGTACCTTACGTTGGGTGACCATATTTTCCTATGCTGAATATGGGACACCTGGTAAAATTACTCTTATTCAAGTGAGTTCTACAGCAATCAATCAGAACTATGCAGTACAAACATTCAAATTAACATCAAGTTGACTGAGCCCCTGTTAAGAAGAAACACTGTAGCTGGATTATTTTTATTTACCTTCTTATCTTTAAGGCTTTAGGGTTCACACAGGGAGAAGTGTGTGTGTCACTTCTGGCTGTGTGTGTGGTGGGGGGGGGAGGAGGTGACACACACACCCCTACCCTCCCCCCCACTACACACACACGCAGCCAGAATTGACACACACACACACCTACCCCTCTCACACATGGGGGTGATCAACTGACCCGACCATCCCTGTCCAGTGCTCTCCGCCATCCATGCCTGGCTGGGCCCCTGGGATGGACTCGCCTCTTCTGATACCTGGTGCCGCAACTTCCCATGGCAATATGTGGGGGGAAGGGGGCACGCACCCCCTCCCCAGATTTCTGCCAGGGTTCACACCAGAATGTGGCAAGCAGCAGCCTTTTGGCGCTGTGCGGGAGGGAAGGGATGGGAGCTGCTTCCAGATGCTGGGGGGAGAGGGGGTATAGGATGACCTGGCCCATGTCTTTGCTTCATCTTCCCCACCCCATCCCGGCTGGAAGCAGCTTGTCCCTTCCTGCCCGCACACTGTCGAAAGGCAGCAAATACCCCCAGGCTGCTGCTGGCCACTGACATAACCCAGCTGCCCCCTGTGCCATGGCTACAGAATGGGCAGGAAGGGGTTAAGCCCTAAGAATAATTATGCATCAGGGTCCAGGGAACCTGACTGCAGGAACTTCAGCAAACCTGGCCAGAGAGATGACTCAGCAGGGGAGAGTTCCTAGGGGACGAAGCAGCCCTGCGCCCCCTGGGGTCAGGACACAGGGGCGGGGGGCAGGTGAAGAGGGTGCTAAGCCCCTGCCCTTGGGGCTGCTGTGGAGCCTGCAGGTTTGGGGTGTGAACAGGCTGGAAATTGCTTTCCCTCCCTCACCCCAACATTCCGGAGTTTAGCTGAGGGGCAGAGAGGTTCCCCCATGCCAGGGCTTTGGCACATGCAGAGCTTGGCTCCTCCTGGCCAGCGCCCTGGGCCGGAGGGTCTTGGGCCTTCCCGGGGTGCCAGCCCAGCCAGAGGCAGTGGGGGAAGGAAGGAGCCTGCCAGCTAGGCTGTTGGTGAGCTGAGCACTCTAACCAGGGGGCTGGTTCTCTGAACAGCGCTGGGAGTGGGATGCACCCTGCTGGGGGGCATATAAAAGAGCAGCAGGGCTGTGGGAGCGAAGGGGCAAAGTAGGGAGAGGACGGTGAGAGGGGGAGAACATAAAGGGCCAATGGGTGGGCAGCAGAGCTGACATGTAGCTGGCCGCTGCCTGGCACCTGCCCACACTCACCAGCCACCGCAGCTCACAGCACACAGCCAGCACTGGCCAGAAATGGGACGGGGGCTTGCTGAGGGACCAGCAGGGGGAGCAGCCAGCCCCACATGCTGCATCTACACCCCGCCATGAGCCTTGCACATCCACCCTCATCGTCAACCACTAGACCCCTGTCCCTCATCACTGGTGGGCAGGCGGCTGACGAGCAGGGATCCAGCCAAGCAGGGTTCACGCCAGCATATGGCTAGCAGCAGCCAGTACTGATTGGGGCGGGGGGTGGGGGGAGGGGCAGAAACTATGGGACAATTTGTCCATTTTTTAGAAAAAGTCGGAACACCTGCGGGAGGACTAAAATGCAGGACTGTCCCTTTAAAAACGGGACATCTGGTCATCCTAACCTTACAATACCTGCTCAACGGAGAAAAAAGGATGGTTAGCACTGAACAATCCATTGTTGTTAGAATCTCACATAATTAAAAGTGACAACATGCAAATATACTGATGAGAAATCTATGTGCAAAATTTCCAAGTTTTACTCCAGAGCATACATCTATATTTGAACTTCTCATTCAAAATTTTTACTGGAAAACAAGCACCACTCACGTTTCCATCTCAGCTAGCACTCAATCAATGCCCCAGTATGTTGCTAAAGGGCAATATGCTGCATCCTTCATATGAGATACAAATTGACACACTGAGCACTTTTTTAAATAATTAAGAAAGGAATAAGCAATGTCTAATTTTTAGGTCACACAGAGAGTAACATACCAAAAACACCTATATGAAAATATACCAAAGAAATAAATGCCGGAACTAGAAAATGCCAGAATTAAGATTGCCCATGCAACCATGATCTTTAGATGGTCACTTACTATTTTTCCCTACAGGACCTATACCTCACTCAGTGCACAATAAGGATGGGGGCTCAAGGGATAGGTATATATTAATTATTTCTTTTTATCCTCATCATTAGGCATGCGGCTCCTGCCACCTTCTCAGAAATGGCTAAATCTTTCCAAATAAAACAATTCAGCCTGAGGCAGACACCGGACATAAAAAACTGTAGCCCATATAATTAAAACTTAGCAACGTTATAAGCAACTGAAAGCAGTCTCCTAGCAGAAAGTGTTAAGTATAGACACTCTGCCAGCTGATAATGACTGGTCTGGTGGCCATGCCCTCTGGACACTAATATACTACAATAAATAATTAAAATTGTGTCCTGAGAGGATAAATTCTGTTCTCGATTGTACACTTAATATCAATATAAGATTGCTCCAATGTCATCATCACCATCGTGACGTACTTACAACCGATGTGATTTTAGTTTGGTTGTCTTTGGTATTCACTAGATCTCCTGAATTTGCATCAACCACACTTGGCTTCTGTCCAGATGAGATAAGCTCTTAATAGTTTTTATGGATTATGTAATTCCTTAATGTTCCATGAAATTATATTGATTATGAGAATGCAGATGATAAAGTCCCCCAGTCTGTACAGTGAACATTTTGGGCCGTGTGCCTCTTTTTATGAAAATACATTTTTAGAACTTTAAGGGAAAAATTCATAAGCATTTCTACTAGTATCAGAACTAATGAAAAGGACAATATTACTTAACATAGAAATACCTGGCTGTTGATACTTTTAAGAACAGAACAAAGTAGACTGTTTTGTTTACACACCCAAACCCTCCCAATAAATTTATTCCATAACCTCAGCTGCCCCCAACACACCCAAACAAAGAAAAAAAGTCTCCCCTTCTCTTCAGTACCAGAATCAGAGGGTAAAGAGTCAGCAGCGATTCAAATCCAAGCAACACAAAAAATGATTTTAACCTGGGTGAAGCAGCTGTGAATGTAACTAGCTAGGCAGGTGGGATATCATCAGCAGAGTACAAAAGATGGAGGAAGATAACACAGCCCAATTTTCTCTATCCTTACAAGATGCCAGCTTACAAGACACCATCAGGACTATCCAGTATCATGGAAAACATTAAACTTCCATATAGGTTATTTCTGAGCTAATATATGTTATTTTTTAATTTTAAGAAAAGACACCCAAATATTTATACAGCCTGTGTGAGGAAAAAAATTAATTTTATTTTAAACATGGAGAGAAAGTATCATTTAACTCAGCTTTTTAAATTTTCAGATCAATTGCACTAGACATATAATCAGCCAGTTAAATGGCTGGAGACAGTACAGGAGTAAGGAATATAACAAATGAGACAGAAAAACAAAGATTTCTCACAGTCGACTCACTATTCATACTGAGCTGCCCCTATGCTACTTAATAAAAAGAAAAAAGTTTATTGCCAGTTGAAGTAAAAACAAATACAATACGTTAGAGACCTGACATGGCATTCAAATACTTTATTATTTAGAGTTTTTATTCGTTTCCCAAAACATAATATTACCATACAAATGAAGTCAAAGCTGAACAAAACAGATGAAATAACTAGCACTGAGAAGAGGGTGGAAACAATTATGAACATGACTGCATGATTCTTGACATAGGGGAACTGGGGGGAAAAAGTAAAACCCAGGATTAATCAGTAGTTGCAACAAAATGTATGAATTGAGAATACACCTTTATATAACAAGTGAATTACTGCTGTAAGTACCCTTCTAGGAACAGTTCTTATATTTGGTTGTATGCTCACACTTTCCCCTGATATCCACACAGGATTCATTTTAAATTAGAAAAGTTCAGTTATCAGGCCACCCATTGAGAGCACAAAATAAAATCAAAACCGTAATTTAATGGCATTTTCCTAACAACAATTCTTCTACTGGGCTTTACTAGAAATAGCATGTCATAGCTCCTTTCCTCAACTACTACTATCCACTCAGCATACCATGAAACAGCATTTCTCAACATATTGAGCATGGCCTACAGGTAGACAGAAGTTGCCAACAGTAGGTTACACACCATAGGGTGGGGGAAGAAAAGGGGGGAAAAAGAAAAAAAAAAGAAAAAAAACTTTTCAGTAGTGAAAAAGCTAACAAGGATCAGAAGAAATCTGTTAGCTAGTTTAGCTGGAATTGTCCCATTAATAAATTCTCAATGAATTGACGTGGAAAGGGAGGTTTCAGGCTAGATGTTAATGGATGATGATTAACATAGGAGTATAGACTAACTCAAACTGACTACTACTTGTCAGAGCATGACTGACAGCTTGGAGGCATTAACAATTCCTAAGTAATAAAACCAATGTGAACTCTGTCCAAGAGAACACCTGGACACAAAAAATCACCCAAAAGAAGGAGTTTACAGCTGTATTACTAGGACTGAAATGACTCAAAGTGGCGTGGGAATTCCAGTGAATAGCAATATCGTCAAAATATTGTTCTCTTTTGCCTACGCATTAAATTTAACTTACCGTAATCCATTCCTCTGATCAAAAGCAGGAATCATAGAACTGGGATGCTCTGATGTCAGAGCAACAAGCAACTGCAAGACATCCATTAGATTGTCATCCTATTAAAAAATAAATCACAGAATTTGAATTTAAAAATTAAGTAGCTAAATTGCTAGATTAGAACATTACTGTAAATTTTAAAAGTCATTGCAAATAATTCAGTATGATCCAGGCCTTGGTTTTGGGCCAAGGAAGTTCTTTAGGTAGCAGCTGTAAACTGCAGAGCAGGGCCAGGGAGTCAGACCAGAATCCAAATAACTAGGCCAGGCTCAAAGGAGCCAGGAGAGAGTACTAAGGAACAGGAAAGGTACAGGGAAATTAAAGGGTCAACAAAAGTGAGAATGGATTAGGTAGAATTAGTTGATCTGTGCATAGTGGTGGTGAAGTTGCATTGTTTTGTATGTAGTGGGAAGTTTGTGCATGTGTGACAGGGAATGAACTATGCGGCAATTCCTCCCATGCACATTTATGTAAGTACACACACACACACACACACGTACGTACACACATACACTTCACCCATTCAGTGAATTAAAACAAAACAAAAACTAACAAAGCAAATTTTCCAAAGGGTGGCGGTTCATGAGATTTTTTTTTAAAGTTGTGGCCTATACTATGAAAAACTTTGAGAACTCATAGGCAATACTAAAAGTAGATAATTTAGGCTTATTACCTGTCTAGCAAAGGTTTTTTTTAGCAGTTTGTCTGAGGCATATACATTTAACCACAGCTTACGAATTTGTTCCAAGTAAATTGCTTTTATTTAAAGGTGACTTACGAAGAAATAAAATGCAACTTTTGTGCCCGTTTCTTATTCTTCGTGATATATAAAAAGCTACCTTCACAAATTTTTCAACAAAAATGTCCTGCTCATTTTACACATTAGACACTTGGGTCTTGTATATCCTGAAAGACTATGCACTTCTAAGGTATGGCAACATTATGACCTCACAGATGTCATGGCTGATTAGCATGATGAAGAGGGTAGGGCTATTTTCCTATGGCATGTTTAGAACATTTTGTTTTCTTTGTTTTGTTTAACACCTATGTTAATCGCTTGACAGAAAAAAAGATTGCTTCATTAAGGATTCAACAACCCTGGCTCTCAGTTTAGGCCACACAGGCTCATCTGGTTAAAATAAGAGGAAGAGTGGAAGGTTAACTCCTCCTTTCCATTTACAAAATTTGAATGAAAGCTCTGTGATGCGTTTCATTTTCAGGGTTTTTCTACATGGAGACTTCATGCATAGCAAGCCAGGATGTGAATGTACAAGCAGACTAACTTGCAGTAACTGGCCATATGGACTCTACTGCCATGCACAGAAGTTCCATAACATGCTTTGACTACAGAACTTTTAGTGAATGGTAGCAGAGTCCACACGGTCAGCTACTGCATAGCAAACTTGCACAGTGTAAATTCACATCCCAGCTTGCCACGCATTAAGTCTCCATATAGATAAGTCCTTAGCTGCTACCCAGATTGTCATTTCTGCATAAAGGAGAAGGATTGGATTGCTTATTTCATGCTGCACCCAAGCACACTCAATCCAGTACCAGAGTAGAGACTGTAGGATAAATATAGGTGTAAACACAAAGAAAAAATAAATCTGTACTGCTTGAAGTGAATTCAATTAATTCCTTATTTTACCCATTTCAAGCACCCTTAAAGAGATTAGTTCAGTTAGATTTATGGTCCCATTTTCCTTGTCTTTGATGTTACATCTGGCATAAAGTGCCTTTTCCTGGTGCTAAAATATGAAGATGCAGATATATCAATGGTAACCAATATTCTTTCGCAATTAAGTTTACAAGCTTCTCTTCGACTTCATTAACATTCTTATTTTTAATTCACATTTTCAATGTATTGTTTTATTTAAGAAGCAGAATAAAAACGGTGAAAAATAAAACCAAAAATATTACTTAGGTAGCATAAAATAAGGATTTTTTTAAGTCACTCTTGCCATCTGTTTTTCTGATTGATAGATCAGGTTGTTGAACAGCATAGGAAACTACTTTGACTTACTACCTTAATGAACCTCAATCTACTATTAAATATAGTGTTTAAATCACTACAGGATATTGGTAATTCAACACACTGCACTCTAGGTTTGGACTATATTTGTTATTTCTTACTGCAGAGCCATCTTGTGGCAAGAGAGGATATTTTTATTTGAAAAAATTGTGAATAAATTTTCCTTGACTTACCAAGAATAGCAAAAAACAATACAAAAAGTTACCTCATGAATTGTGAGCAGATAATTGAGGATAGCCTGCAATTCATCTTCTTTCACTCCATAATCCTCAAAAAATAAAATTTAAATTGTATCTAGCAGCTTTCTTTCAAGACATAACAAAATAATTATTAAACAGCACTATACAAGACAGTATCATATAAAGCTGAACAGCTACACAAGATAGATTTATCTTTATCTAAGGTGCCATGACAGCTTCTAAGGCAGCGGTGGGTAAACTACAGTCCGCGGGACCCTCCTGCCCGGCCCCTCAGCTCATGGCCCAGGAGGCTAGCCCCAGGCCCCTCCCCTGCTGTTCCCCCCTCCCCCACAGCCTCAGCTCACTGCACCGCCGGCGCAATGCTCTGGGCAGCGGGGCTGCGAGCTCTTGCCAGGCAGCGCAGCTGCAGAGCCACAGCCTGACCCGGTGCTCTGTGCTGCGCAATGGCATGGCTGGCTGCAGCCGGATGGTGCGGCTGCCTGTCCTGATGCTCTGGACGGTGCAGCTGTAGCACCACCAGCCAACGATGCTCCAGGTAGCGCAGTAAGGGGGCAAGAAGTGGGGGGGGGGGAATAGAGGGCAGGGGAGTTTGGGGTGGTGGTCAGAGGGCGGGGTTCTGAATAGGGGTCGGGGCAGTCAGAGGGCAGGGAATATGGGGTTGAATGGGGGCAGGGGTCCCGGGGGGCAGTTAGGAAGGAGGGGGGGTTGGATGGGGCAGGAGTTCTGGGGGGGGCCAGTCAGGAATGAGAGGAGGGGTTGGAAGGGGAAGCGGGGGTCAGTCGGGGCAGTCAGGGGACAGGGAGGAATGGATGGGGCAGGGGTCCCGGGAGAGCCATCAGGGGGCGAGAAGTGCGTGGGGGGGATCAGATAGGAGGCAGGGCTGGGCCACACCTGGCTGTTTGGGGAGGCACAGCCTTCCCTACCCAGCCCTCCATACAACTTTGGAAACCCAATGTGGCCCTCAGGCCAAAAAGTTTGCCCGCCCGCCTGTTCTAAGGTAACAGGTTCTCTGCCTTAAAGGATTCAAAACTGAAGAATCTATGTTACAAAGTTGCCACCAAAAGTGGAAAGTAACATACAAAAATAGGGTAAGAGGTGACAATAGATGTATATGAAACAATAAGTGATCCACAGAAGGAGAACAGAGTTTCTTCTTATTCTCCCTCATAATAGCAGAGCAAACGGACATCCAATGAAGTTAAAAGGCAAATTTAAAGTAGTAAATACTTCTTTGTACAATGCAAAATTAACCTGCAGAATTCACTTCCACAAGATATTGAGGCAAAGAGCTTAGTAAGCTCCAAAAACAATATTAGACATTTATTATAGTCATCCCTACTAGAGCTCTCTGAGGCCTCATTTGTTTGTTTTAGTTTTTTTAAGTTTCAGCAAAAACTGTTGACTTGTTTCCATGAAAAATAAGTTGTTTTGCCCATGCTAAAACAGAAGTCTTACAACCATTTAATTGAGATGCACTTGTACCTTAATGTTTTGGAACAGAGTCTAGACATCTGGCAGGGTGTCACCCTGGCATCAGTACTTTTTTCTGACCCTGCAAAAAAATCTGCCTAAATTTGACCTACTTATAAGCTACTGGCGGGGGAAAAAAAGCAGCTTGCAAATGCTCAGTAAAGGCTCTTTAGAATTTAGTGGCTAAACCACGCAGAGGTTTCATCTGCTATTAGCATGCTCCAGCTAAGGGGCTGAGCAGGACTTTTGCTGCAATTGGTCCTCCCGGCTCCAGGGGACCAGAATTGAGAGCAGGGAGTCTGTCTCCTTGGCTCTCAGTACTTCTCCTCTGGTACGGAAGGAGCATGGAGGAGAAAGAAAGTATGATTCAAAATGTAGAGAGGTGACAAGTGTGGTGGAAAGTGAAGAGAAACAGACAGAGAACCTCTGGCTCAGGGGAGAGCATAGCACAGAGATACGAGCAGAAGGATTTATAACCACTAGAGAATGTTCCCCTCCAGAACCTAGAACTGAACCTAGGATTCCTGAATTTCAACAGTCCTCTGTTGTCTGGCAAATATTTGTGAAGCTGACTGGCAAACGGTGTTATCCTCTAATGGCTTGTCTGCATAAAGGATAACAGCCTTCTACAGCTAGTTATTCTGTCCACACTAATGCTTCTTCCGAAGCATCTGGTTCTGCCACGATTAGATTTAGGAGATTGAATCTCATCAAATAGAGAGTTCTTATGTTCCCCTTGGTGGAGGGGACTTCAAAAATTAACTACGTACCAACAGCTCTACTTTTGACAAGAAATAGTTTAAACAAACATTTATCAATTCATGCTACTTACATTAGCAGGCCAAATAGGAGGATCACCCTCAGTGTTGTTTCAAGTATCTTATTTGCTTACAAAAAAATCACCAAAATTTCAACATACTTTAAAGACTGTTAAGGTGATATACTGCAGTAGTACACAGCAGAGATGGAGTCAGTGTTACACATTTCATGGGAAAGGCAGCATGGACAATAGAATCTCCATTTATAGTCGCCTTACCTTCATCACTAGTTGTTTAATGAACATCAGTAAGAATGCTCGCAGAGATAAAATCTCCTTCTGATTAGGGCGTGGTCCATCTTTAAAAACATACAAAAAGATGGATATATTATACTATCCATCTACTGGATGTGAATTACTGATGGTTATCTTGTTACTAAAGCATATAATATATTTTTAATTTAAAAGTTTTGAAAAAAATGTAAGATATTTTATATTTTTATATGCCAGAGCACGATTTCAAATGCACTGATTTGCTTTGCTTCCCACAGGAAACACGTTACTACATGTTGTTTTAACATTTAATAGTGTAGTGAACTGACCACTAATTAAGTCTACAAGGTAAGGCTATGTCAAAGTTTTATAAAACCTTATATTAAAACTTCTTTTAATGCTTTTTCATTTAAATTAAAACTTTTGCAGTGTCTAAATCAAGCACTGAAACATCATGGATTGGGGTAAAAGAATGAGTTTAAGTTGATACTATAACTTTAAATTAGTATTTCCAGACTTTGATATTTAATTATTTTGTGTATGTTTGGTTTTTAAATAGAATTTCTACTTCAGCTCATTAATATTTTCAGGAGATGATTACACTATAGTATTAATCAATATAAAATGGCTTCTTCTGCTTGGGCTGCTACTAGCATATTATGGATAAATACATGGTGTTGTGAGGTATTCCTACACCTCTTGTATACAAATACTATCTTGCAAGTTAGAGAAACCCAATTTAGAGACCCAAGACTCTCAGAGAAGACTCTCTCCTTTCCCTCCCCAAATAATCGGTCACTGAAATATTTTAAAGATCCAAATATCATAGCTCCTTAAGCTATTCATTGTGTTAGCTACGCCTAGGGAGGGGGCAAATACAACCCCAATTTTAACAGAAGAATATACAAATTCAAACAACTCTATGAGGTCTTGTGTTGCACAAGTTTAACTACAGATGTGATTTTAAACCTATTTAGTTAAACTGGTGCAAGTTTGTGTAGATGCACTTTGGTTGAGTTTAAGAGTGCTTTGGTTCAATTTAGCTCAAATCAAAAATAAGCCATTCAACTGAAATAAAAGTATTCTACACAAACTTGCCCTAGTTTCACTAAATTAGTAAAGAAACATACCTTTAGGTAACCGGTTCAATTTTATGAGTAGACAAGTTCTTACTAACAAAAAATCTTCATTCCTTCCAGGGTTCAACACACTACCAAGCAAATGTAATTTCCCTTCCACAAATTTTGTTAGTGAATTTCCCTTGTTTGAGAAGTTGGTGGTACTGAGAGGAACAGGATTAAGGGGCCCCTGCTGGAGGACTGGCATGAGAGAACTTCCTGGGTACACCTATATTCCCTTCAGCTACCAGATCTCTCCGATCCCCATTCCCACCCTAGGCTGGTAACAAGGTAGCTGAGGAACTATGAAGAGCACAACTACCAGCTGGAGGCAACACCATAGGGAGTACACTACAACCCTTACTCCAAGAAAGGGTGATAGGAACTCCCAGAGCTCCTTATTCCAATTGGGAACAAAAGGCGGGGGGAAAGCATGGGGCTCCCCTTGCCCATCAGGAGTTAGGTTTCCATTCTGCCAGCTCCACAGTAGTGGGTCCCAGTATTAAGCATCAAGTCTCTATGTTCTGCGCTCATAAGAACATAAGAATGGCCATACTCTGCACTTTTATCATCATCCCCAGTATGATATATTCTAATAATGTACATAGATCCTTGGGGTTAGGGGCATATATTTATTCTCTTCAGGGTCTGGGGGGGGATGGGGGCAAAAAAGAAAGCACCAGATGGACAAAGCTGCTTGTTTGAACTGGTATGCTGAATCCTTCCACCAAATGAAATACTGCCTGGATCCCATCCATTCCACACACCACACAAAACCATGCACTTCAAGTGAAGTGGTTCAGAATGCTCATGTGTTGATGAACGGTGAGCAATGTATACATACCTACACCTTTTGGAGTAATACCACTGCGATCTTGAGGGTTCACGGCCCAGTAGTAATATTTTAAGGAGTGCATTACCAGAAGAACTGTCCCAACACGCCGAACTGCATTGTATATGTTAACAGTGCCAATGAACTCAGTAGACAGGTAAGTGTACAGGATCAGCTGAACCTACAACACCCAGTTAAGAACAAATTGAAAATGTTAGCTAGGATTTCACATACTCAACAGGGAGGTAAGTCAAAATGGTAGTAGATTAGGGAATTACATTCTTAATTTTATCTAGTTTAAAAAAATTCTAATGTAAAAAAGAGCAGAGTAAATGGAGATACTCACTAGGGTAGCTTCACCAAATAGTTACTAAAAACTCTTGATTTTACCACAAGTTTAATGATACTTAGTGTAATTCTAAATGTCCAAGCTTCTGGAGTCATGTGAATATGAGAGAATCTCATTTTAAAACACCACATTTTGGCTTTCATGGTTGTTGTGAAAAGAAGTTTGAATGTGTGAATCCCCCATTTTTTTCTTCCATCTCATCATTTCTGGGGGGCTTTTTTTTTAAATGCTTAGGGCTGGCAATATTGATAGCTACATCTAACTGCCAGAATAAAAAATGTATGTCACTGTCCTTCTCTGGAGCACAATGAAAGGGCAATAAAAAAGATTTCAGGTGCTACTGTTCCCTAATTGAAAAGTTCCTCTTCTGTGAAGTATCTATGTTATATAGTGCTATAGACATTAGTGCGTGTCTAAATCATACAAGGGACAATGACATTTTTACTGTTTTATTGCAGTGACATTTTAACAATTCCCATTTCAGTCAGAGCATCCAAAACATAACATGGTCTAATTTTTTTATTTTTAGAAGAGTCTTTAAAAATGGGTAAGGGTCCAAGCAACTCACTTTCCAAAACACAGCCTCTGACGCACTGTACAAAACTCACCCCCTTACTGGAGTTTGTTTCTATTTACAAAAAAGAGTAACAAATTCCAGCCCAATATTTTTCCTATAGTTTCTTATAGTGGCTGTTCCTATATTTTCTTCCTAAGGGAGGATCAGTCCACATCAATCTCGGACACTCTTATTGTGCACTAAAAATGCCTGCATGTGCTTTAGCTTAATAGCTTAGTTCGCTTTAAAGTGTACTAAGCTAAGGTGCCCACGTGCACTTGCAGTGTGCAGTAAGTGTCCACACGGGGAGTTAGTGCAGGATGTGCTGTAAACTCACACCCTATCTTGTACTAACTTCCTTGTAGACAAGCCCTTACTCTGTCTATATAGCCACTCCCACTCCCTTACATCCAGGATAGGGTTAATGAACACCATGTGTTCCAACAGAAGTTATCAGGAATCAATCAGCGGCTCTGCAAGTTCCAACATGATCAAAACAAAGTGAAGCAACAGCAAAAACCTGCCACCATCTTGGAAAGTGTTTACTTGTTCTTCTGTTTATGTTTGGCTAGAAAAAATTGACATACAGGGTGAACACTGAAAATGACAATACACAAAGAGCTGTCAAATGCATAAATCAAACTAAACAGGAAGAAAAACATTCTCTCTACTAGCTTTTCAATTATAGTTATCTTGAGTGTTACTAGAGTTTCTAGAAGTGGGATTTTCAAGTGGAAAGTATGCCCTTAATATGAAACAGTTTGTAAAGTTCATATAAACAGTTCATTATAAAGTTATGGTCTTATAGATTTGTATTGCTTATTTCCCTTTCTGCAAACATAAAAGATACTGCCAATGCTTTTATAAAGGCTTAATTTAGCTGTACCCATATTACATCATTCCTTCATGATGCTTCAAAACCTATTTGTATCTAACTTTGGCTCAGCTTATGGAATTCACCACAAAATGTCAAGTTTTTTAGCCTTGTGATGATGAAGGAGCTTTTAAGTGAATTTCATGCTCTTGAAATATGTCAGATTAAAAGCCATGAAAAATAAATTTTCCTTGTGTAGTTACAAAACAGGTGTAGCGCTGCCTGCAGCATCTTTAAAGAACCCTATACTATTTCCGTACTTCTCCCTGAGTGCTAAATTACTTGTCTTTTGTTCTATTAAGAGTTCAAAATAATCTTTGAGAGTGTTCTGGCTTCAATTTTGGCAAACTGTTATACCAGTATGGATTGGAAATTAGTACAGGCAAATATCTTTATGCCTTGATATACTTTATGTATATAGTAATTCTATAGTATTGCTGAGATGATATATCTTTGGTTTACATTATAGTTAAATCTGGAATCATTTGGCACCAATCCACTAAACTCCATTTCACACCACAGCAGAAGCGTAAGTTGGACAATACTATTTTAAAAGGCTGCTTAGTCAGTGAATGCAAATAGTTTCATGCTACTTATCCAGATCTTCAATTAGAACGTTAGCTATTCAGGCAGGGACCGTGTCAGCCTATGTACATACAGCATTTAGAACAATGGGGTCCTGATTGAAACCTTTCTCTGCAGGGTGGCTGGGCTTACTCTCTGAGAGAGGGAGACGATCTCGGCTATTCAGGAGGGCCTCAGAGTAGAGCTGCTACTCCTCTGGATCGAGAGGAGGCAGTTGGGGTGGTTCGGGCACCTTATAAGGATGACCCGGGGACACTTCCATTAGAACTCTACCGGGCACGTCCCACTGGGTGGAGGGCCCGAGGCTGACCCAGGACACGCTGGAGGGATTATAGCTCCCGGCTGGCCTGGGAATGCTGAGGAATCCCACAAGAGGATCTGGAACCTGTAGCAGAGGAAAAGGAGGTCTGGTCCTCCCTACTTTCCATGCTGCCGCCACAATCCTCAGCAGGAAAAGCAGCATAAAGGAAAAAGGAGGAGGGATCCTGATTGGGCCTTTGGATGCCACTTCATTAAGAACAGTATCATCATCATCATCACCACCACCATGTATGTTCTAACCTGAACGGATACATGATTAACAAAACCAAAATATTTACCTTTGCTGGTGTATGAATCCATATTGCAGGGTTAAGGAGAATGTGATCACACAGCTGTTTAAGCAAGGGAATCCCATTGTGCAAATTACTCAGGTATTTAGCAAATGCAAGGCATAGTTCTAGCACAACTCTGGTAACATGGACTTTGGAAGACTGTTTAAAAAAAAAGGCTTCTTTAGACTCATGTTTACAGAACTGTTTTTAAACTTCGACAATACAGAAAAATATTGGCAAAAGGATTCTGATAAGCTAACCTTAGCTCAGTAGTGATTTTGTTTTACCTTTTCAAGACAATGTCCTATCACAAGGAAGCCCTTACAGGAAAGCATCTGCTCTTGCATAGCAATGGAGTTCTTCAGCAACTCCATGATGAAAGCCAGCAAAGTAGAACTGAAAAATACAGTGTATTGAAATCAGTTTCTTAAAGAAATACCAGGTGTTTCAGAGAGTCATAGAAATGAGGTATTCAATTCCCTCACAGGAATATGTTCCCAGCTAAGCTCTTTCATCTTCCAGTATATAAGTACATTTAATACAACACTTAAATAGCTAAGTTAAGATTTGGAATAAAGTTAAGTTTAGAATTTGAAAACATTTAAGACTGCAAAGTTACAAGATGGTCAGTCTCCTAGTTTCAACTGGATTTTCTCTACCTCAAAACTTTGAACTTTGTGATACTTTTTGAATAGCAAAACACTCCTGAAACAACTTTTCACTGATTACTTCCAATTTTGAACCAGTTCTGCCATGCAATATATCTATGTTCCATTCCAACTGCCATTCTCTTGCTTTCCGACAGGCCAAATGATGCTGGCAACACTTCTGTTTAAAGCAGGACTAACTGCTTTGAACAACCCCTCTGTAGTCAGTGCCACTCCTTAACTGCTATGAAGTCTCATCAATTTTTGTGGCTGGAAGATCAGAGGTTGCAAAACAGAGCTGGAGCAAAGGAAAACTCGAAGATATGCACGTTTTTTTAGGTTTGAAGGTACTGAGGGGTGGAGGAAGAAATACACAAGAAGATTTTAGAACAGCAAAGATTTCTGCATTCAATGCAAAATATTAATGCAACATTAAGATTGTCCAGTTAAGCACTCAAAAATCATGAACGGAGAAGCAAAAAATTTGTCTTTTCTTTTTACTGTTCCACTGTGAAGATGAGCTCCAACTCTACCCCCACACCCCCAAAAAAAGTATTTTGGCTTGTTTTTCCCCCACGCCATCACAGAGACACTCATTTCTCTTGTAAGACCATGGTAAAAAACATTATGATGTTAGGTTGCAAACCGATATGCATTCTCTCCTTCTCACTGCTCCCACTAACTCACAACCTAGGAATCAGCACATGCCTTTAGAGAGGTGAAAAAGTTATACTTCATTTATCATTAATTAGTATATGAGCACATAATTAAAATGATCCTAAGGCCTAAATGCAAGAAGGTCATATAGTCAAACTTAGCTTTTGTATTTCCTGATTTTAGAGAACTTAACTGTGTAAACTTAATATTCCATTAGAAGGTTTTTGTACATAATTTTAGCATTTTTCTGCCTCTTTAAAAGAAAAAAATTCCATAGTTCTTTAACAGAGTGCACATAAAGGCCAATTAGTGCTTTGGTGTCAGTGAATACACACCATTAGACTTAAGCCCCTCGCTGGTTCAGGACTGGCTATCGCGTGTTAGTACTGTGGCTTACATACAAATTTTTGTACATATACATTAATTGGTATAAACCTTTATCATTGTACACATGGTTATAGAGTACTATAAATTGCACATTTATAAGTGTATAGCTTATTACTACTGAATTTATTTCTTTTAGACATGATTTTATAGGTCTTAACACAAGAGTCAAGTGGGAGAAAAAAATCAGTTTAGCAGTTGTGAAGTTACCAGCTTTTGAAGCTGACAAAACAACTTTATTAGTTCATATTTAAATTAGGAATTAAGGAGATTTTTAAAATGCCTAAAGGATTTAGGAGCAGAAATCAATGGGATTAAATCCTTTAGGCACTTTTGAAAATCGTACCCCAAATATGGATTTTTCTTCAAATATATGTCTCTCTCTTTATCAGTTTTCTAATGATCATGCCCAGAAGATAATTTACAGATAGTAATAACTTTACTAAATTAAAACCATTTTTAATCCAGGCAAAGGTACTAGCCCTCAGTAAAAGCTACATGTATGACTACTGCTATGGAAGGATATTGCTTCAGTTTCTCCTACACTCATCCCATAAAAATGAATTAGCCAAAAAGATAAATGTGTTTTGGAAAGTTTTGAGTTTGTAAAACAAGTAGTTCTAAAGGAAACTTTTTTGAAATGTTAACTACAGAGTGTACTATGAGTCCCTTACAATTTTAACATCCTTGACAACACATACAAAGCTTGAGTTAGCCTGGGCACATAACACATCTTTCAATCATCATGCACTATAGATCAGGATCATCAACTTATCTTCCATGGAGCTTCAAGAAGCTTCCCCCCCTGCCCCATTGACAGGAAAGAGCTCATGTAGATTTTTCATATTTCTAGTACCCCATAAATACATTACATAACTATAGCATGATGTGCATATTTGTTTTCATTTGTGCAAGTTTGCATAGAAAACATGGTGCCAATAATCTTCACCTCAGCTCAAGATCCTGTTCACATGAGGCTTAACAACTTCTGTCCTTGAGAACAGAAATAAAGCATCCAAATAATAGTGCTACAATTCCATTAGTTGGAGTTAATTCTTTGCCTAATAGCTTAACACAGACAGACATGGTTTCCAGTTTAACCTTCAGTTATTTTAACTGTATTTAGTAGAAGCTGTGCATTTCTGTCACTTAAGGCAGATGTAATCTTCAATTTATTGTGTTTATGTAGAGAAGCCTGACTTAAGAAGTTTTCCCTTTACTTGCTGCTATATCTTACTGGTGAAAAAAAAGAATTGTAAACCACAAGAATTCTTTACAACATAAGGTAGCTAGCTCTGTGGCCGTTTAAATTAAGCAAAAACCCATTTCACAAATTAAAATGGGTTGAAGTTAAAATGGAAGATGAAATGAGGTAGCCATATGTACTCACCAAACAGTTGTGTCAACTTGGTCCAAAGAATATTGCCTATGGTCTAACTGTGCAAACAGAGGGAAAAGTACCTGCACTCCTCCAATTGAATGCATAGCACTTTGGATAGAATGTGTTAGGACTGCTTTCACATCCTGACAAAGAAGAATTAAAAAGATTAAAACCTTTTCTAAAACCACTTTAAAACAGTTATCATTTGACTTAAATACTTAAGAGTATCTTTAATATAAAATCAGATTATTACCACACAAAGAAATTATTACAAGTAATGGCTGCTACTGTTGAGAGACAACCACAAAAAAGATGTCCCAGTCCCAGCCTGACCCAGAGTCTGGGATTCCTGTCTACTGTGCTGGTCCTCAAAGATGGCTTTAGATGGGCACATAGGTTGTGGCCAGCATCTAAAGCAAAACATGGTCTCTGGTAACAGAGGAGCTCCATAGCTTGCTGGCCCTTCCTTGAGTGCCCCTGTGCTCTCCCGAAGTGGAGGAGAGCAAGGTGTTAGAGGCCCTGGGATGGAAGAAGCAAGAGTTACAATAGAATGTCCTCAAGAAAAAACATTGCAGGGGGGTGGGTGGAATTTTTTTTTGAGGGGGGGAGGAAGAAAGAGGAAGAAGGCTGATTTTAAAGTTATTTTCTAAACTTTTGCTGTGTTTCTAAAAAAATTTCTGATATAACCTTCCTGAAGAAGAATTTAATTGGGAATCTAAGAATGGAAAAATGAGCAAGTTCACTTAGGGAAGGGAAGGATGACATGGCTGTACACTGATGAGAAGTACAGTGCACAGGTGTGATGTATGATGTACAGGGCACAGGTGTGATGCAATGAGAAGCAGCAAAATTGTTTAGGAGAGGTTGGAAATCCCTCCCTCTTGGGGTGCCTGACCAGAAGTGATAGGAAAGGGGAGCCCGGCAGTAGTAGTGGGGAGAAGTCAGGAGGCTTGATGACAAAGGGAGGAGAGTTACTTTAAAGAGCTGGGAACAATTCTCCACACCTCCAACTAAAAGGTTGAGGAAGGAGAGCAGTGCAGTTCTGATAACTTCTCCCGATTAGTCTATTATGTGGAGCCCTCTTACCTGGTGCTAAAAATCCTGGTTACAGGCAAGTACAAGCCGTTTTTCTCCTTAGAAAGTCTACTAAAAGTGCCAAAATACCTGAAGCATGAGAGCATGTGGTGAATGAACAAAGATAGAAGGGTTATCCTTGGGGGACGATTCTAGACAGAGCTGTGCATCAGTAGCCCTTGGATTGTACGTGAAAGCAATAGCACTGGACAATTTGCCATCATACAGTAACAGTTTGTGATGCTCAGCAAGGAAGAGATCACTTTCTGTCTTGAATTTAAACGTTCCCTAGAAAGATGGAAGAAAAAAAATTAAGGTGACTTGCACTGAAAATACAATAGGAAACAAAATTATTATAACAGCATTACTCCTCTACTCCAGCAATGCATCAGAACAGTCCCACTACAACACTGTTCGCTCAGGACAATTTTTGCACAGTTAGTATTATATAGCATTTTTGTATCCTAAGGCAGTGACATTGTGGAAGCTAAGAAAAACATAAGAAAATATAGTGCCTATTACTCAGTGTTCACTTAGAAGCTCTTTGGGCAGAGGTAAAGACAAAAAAATGTGTTGGTACAGCATGTAGGGGCCACAATCCCCAATTGAGGCCCATCAGGGTTAGCACAATACAAACAGTAAATAATAGCATAACAGAACTAAACCTCAGTGCTCAACACTTTTAATGTATTAAATTAGGTATCAAGATACTTTTCTGGCATGAAGAAAGTAAATTTGGTAGCAAGCCTCAATGAAAAAAAAATGATCTAGCCACAGTTAATAGTTAGTGCTCTATCCACTTAGACAGCATGTCCCTCCCCATCACCCAAAAATCCAAAGCAGAACTCCTGAGAAGAGAACAAGAGAGTAAAGACAGCAAACAGAGTTTATTATTTGCATTAGCCTTGTTTTAATACCAACTTGGTATTAAATGTGTGTCAAATTAGGTGGGGGGAGAGGGGTTGTGTTTTGATTAATACATGTACAATCTCTTTCATTTCATGGAGTGGGACTGGAGTTTTATAGAACAGAAGAGACGGAAAACAAAACACCAGCAAACAAGTCTACTGCTGAGCTGCAACTCCCACTCTGACAGTGAACTTATATAAAAAATGGTTTTTAATTATATTATCAAATACTCTCTTCTCATGCAGATGGGCCTGTAGCATTTTTATAAATCAGTTATGCAAGGGAGGTTATGCATCATGACAAAAATAAGAAACATTAAATATATAGAAAAATGGAAAAAGTCACAGGGTCACATTACTGAGCAAACTATTTTTTGTAATAAAAGTATGCAAAACTGTTTAAAACCATTTAAAAACCCAGGTGACTAGAGAGAGTTATATTTATAAAAGTTCATGCTCAGTAGCAGCTGGATGGGGTTACAAAGCCCAAAAAAACCCTCAACTGTCACATTTTCCTCAAGAAAATCATATCCATGACAAACATATAGCTTTATCTATATGTTCATTTCTCTCCTTATTACACTTTTATAAAATTGAATAGATTAATTTAAATTTTGTGACATTAGATACTTTATTTCTAAAAGCCTATGTAAATAAAAAATAGGCTGGTAAGAACATTGTATAAATCATCATCATCGACATCCTAAAATACTCTAGAAATTGACTTATTAGAATTAATCTTTTGGGTACTATTGACTCAATTCCAAAATACCTTGTATCCCAGGCCAAGCTGATAAATGGCAAAAATCTGAGCAGCATTGAGAGCGTCACTAAAAAGGTAAACAGCTGTCATCTGCCCACAAAACACTCGATTAGCATCTGCTGTTTCTGAAGAACCCAGGAAACATTTATCAAACGTCTGAAAAGAACAACACAGGATACAGTTGTACACAATAAAAGACAAGAAGGATTCAATGTGAAGCACACAAGTATTAATCATGTGGATTATGTATTTGTTATTCTTCAGAAAAGCAATAAATTTATTTTACACCCAAAACAACCTTTCAATATTATAATTGATCAAGGTGAAAAAAATATTTTTGGACAGGCAAAAAGCAAAAATTTCCCTCTCCCAACTCAAATCAATTATCATAGTCAAGGCAAGTAAACTGGGTGTCCAAGCTGGTAAAGCTTTCATTCTAATTTTGAAAGGCTGCATTAATAAATAAAGTAAATGTTTTCAAAACCTGCAGTTTAAAAAAAAAATTGTTTTATAATCAAACCAACAATTATTTTTCATTTTATTTAGCTGTCAATGTCTAGAATTTGTAAAATACATAATATACAATATTAATTAAAAATAAACCACGTTCTCTGCAATTTTTACTCTACTCAAATACTGATAGGACATATCTGCAAATATATACACGGTGAGAGAGTTAAGAAGCTAAGTTCTAGAACTGTCAAACATACATCATCAAAAAGTCAGATATTTCTGTAGTATTAGGGTAACATTAATTGTATTGGTGTCTCAATACCATGTTGGAGATCAGTATTATCAGACTGTCTTCCACATATTAGGAGTGCAGAAAGTGAAACTGCAGGAGAGGAAAATAAGTTTTTGAAGAGACATGATAGTGTTCATCTATAGGGCCCAATCCTGCACACAGTTAAGCATACACATAACTTTACTCCAGTGACTAGTCAATGGACTGTTCATTTAAGTAATATAATGGATGTGCTTAGGTGTTTGCAGAACTGGGCCCATAACTTTTACTGACCATCTAGCACACTGACTACATTTGCATTCTCTTAGTTGAAATGCAATGTGTGTCACCAGGTACAGTTTTTTTAAATTATTTATTCAAAATTCTGTTGGAAAACCTACTACTTTTTTCCTCTCAAGCCAGGTTATCAAAACCTAAAAATATAATCAAGTGCAAAAAAAATTTCAGCCATTCCAAGTATGAAATTAAGTAACATAAAATTAAATAAAAGCTACTTACATCACTGGTATTGACAAACCACGTTATCTCTCCATACGATGCTAGTTCCCCATTCACATAGCACCGAAGTTCACTATTCTTCCAGCGGTTATAGATATGCACTATAGTAACCATATACCACTGAATAATAAGAGAATAATTATTGATACTTTAATCCTGTGTAAGTATGTTTTAAAAGTTACTCAAAATAGCTGGTCCAAGAAGATCAAAACTATTGATATGAGTTATGAAAAGGCAGAAAACGTTTTGAAGATTACTTAGGGATTTCTTTAAATTAAATTAACGTGGAAGAAATGCAAAGTTCATTGATGGCCTAGCCTAATTCACTGTACCCAAACAGTGTGTTCAGTCACCCTGTGTACTGACAAATAGGTGTATAATCTTAAAGGAGATGCATGGTCACAGTACACAACTTTTTCCTGACAACACTAAGGGCTCTATTTATGCCAAAATAACTGACAAAAGAAATATTGTATCTTGCTTTGAGAAAGCAAACATATTTTCAAGTCTACTAAATATTCAAGGAAGCCTTGAACAATGCCATTTAAATCAAGTCACGACATGTTGCTAAATATGATTATTCAATAATGTGGAATAACTCATCGTAGTTGAGAAGAACACACTTCTGGATACACAGAATAATTACAAAGTAGGATTCATTTAGTGTATTCTCTCTCACATGAGTCTGTATTCTTGAAACTGCTTGAGAAAAACGTTAAGCCTTTGACTATATCAGGACAAGGTGTGTGTTTCATAACCATGTTAGCCAACACATGTTAATACATATATTTTTAAACAAACAACACTATCTGTCTATCGCCAGTGCTAAGTGGTGTTTAAAAACATACTAGTTGGTTGTGATCACACTAGGTAGAATAGTTATAAACAGTTATTCCTGGGGGTCATCCCAGGTAATGAGTGAGGAAGAGTAACCTGTGGTTTTTGTCAAAGTTGATGTATTGACTGCTTTGAGTCCTGTCTGTCCTCATCTACACACTCTTTTCTCCTGGGAAGTCCCCAGTAGATTCTTCAACACTCCATCAGCCCAGGAATTATCAGGAAAGATGTAAAATGTATAATAATGATAATACCTAGCTCTAATATAGCACTTCTGTCAATAGCTTTCAAAGCGCTTTACAAAAGAGGTAAGCATCATCATCATCATCATCATCTCCATTTCACAGATGAAGAAACTGAGACAGAGGGGAAGTGACTTGCCTAAGATCACCCAGCTGGCCATAATAAATACATTTTAGTACACCTATAAGTTCGTATTTTGCTAATTTTTAAAGGGTTAAAAACAATACCATTGTGGTGTATATTACTTAGTTTAATCATATCAGGAGTTAGCCCTAACAAGTGAAGTCTTCTATTTATTCACTAAACAGGATGTGAATTCCATAAGCCGTAACAGTGAAAGTTCTCCTACACTTTCCCAGTAATTTCCCAGATCCTGATATCTATTCAATCTTTACCATTTCTGCTGCACAACACCAACTGATGTGGACACACTTGTCCAGCAAGAAACAGACAAACACCATCAACTCATTTCACAGAATTAAGCCAACAGCCAGTAGAGATCTAACTTTCAGTCACTATTCACCTAGGCCACATGTGTGATTTACTCTTTAGTAAATTGCATTTTTTTCTTTTACACGTGGGAATGTATTAAATCACAATCTTAAAAAATGGCGTGTTACTATGTACATTTGTTTAAGTTTTACTTGTAAAAGTTGGTATTATTTACTTCTCTAAATAATGCCAACTGATACTATTGGTAATATTTTTGCAAACAATATTTTTCTGGGTCCATATGAAGTTAGTGATTAGCAAACAAAACAGAACACTCCCCTGACCTTACTAGGACACTGGTCTAAATAAAAATAACTACAATTAATGGCTAATTACACACATGTACCGTGGTAATTTGTGGCACTTATTTGAAGAATTTACTTGCTTAACCCACCTTCTGTGGCTTGAAATCAAATTTCACACAGTGCTGGAATCCTTTTCCCTTTGACTTTATTGATGTCACAATCAAACAGCCTCCAACAAAGTGAGCAGAATAACCAAGTCCTTTGTTTGTTCGAAAACTACAAAAAAGTTTTTTAAAGAAATGAAACTAAATTTGCACGTAAACAAAAAAGTTATTAGGTTATTGGTTTTTTCAATGTAAGTAGAGACCATTGAAAAATGAATATAAATGGGAAAAAAACATTAGAAATCTAGGTTTTCATAATACATACCAATATAAGTAAGGCTTATCCTTATCCACATTGATATTATTTACAGGATCCATTCTTAACCAAGTGTGAAAGGTAAATCCATTCTGGTAGGGCCACTTGGCTATAGGAGGTAAGGCAATAGCCTAAAGGAAGTAATATAGATATTTAATATAGAAAGATTTAACAAAATCATTTATGAATTAAGACAGGACATGGTGCAAGTTACAGTCTTCTAATGTCTTACTGCAATAATAAAATGGCCCAAGATTGGTTTGTTTGGGGTTTTTGTTTTTTGTTTTTTTTTTAATATAAAGAATCTTTAGATTCTAAAGTTTCATGACAAAAATATTTATACCGCAATAAAAATAACTTATAATGAAACTAAACTTTTTTGGAGAAATATTTGGTCCAAAATTGCCTTAAGCTCATCTTGTTCTGTTGTGTACTAACAGAAAAGTGAAATTTACAGACTCATGATCACTTCAATGCTGGCACATCAGATTGAATCCCAAAGAGGAGGAAAGTAACTGACTGTGGAAAGAAGTTAGGCATAAAAATGGAAGTTTCTAGATTTTGCCTGAAACCGTCTTATCTGCAGAAAATGCATGCCTATCTTAGTTCTGCAGAAAAATAGACATGAGAATGTGAGACTTATAACCCTGTTTTCAAAAGAAGACATTACACAATCCTTCCAGCCAAAAAATTTTCCCCATATAAACACAGTACCTATATTAACTAGAAAGTCTGTAAATTGCTAACTATATGCTCAACAATTTTTATAGTATTCAATTCTTTGTTTTGAACAGTTTTTAAGCATTACCATTCACCTTTTACATTGCAAGTCTGTGAAGCAAAATGGTGAATTTCAACTCAGATTTCCATAACCCTCTGATCAAAGATGCTGTCCAGATGATCAATACCAATGAACAAAAACATCAAAGAACATAAGTGTTGCCAGACTCTTCATTATGCTCCCCAACTCTGTGTAGCTATCCCTGTCCAAACACAATGCTATAAATCCTTCTGTAAAGCTGTAATTCACTAATAAGTCTATATGTCTGAGACTGACTCAACTTTTTTGGGCTGATATCACTACAATTGGTTTAACTCACAGAGCTTTTTAGGATGGCTTGTGCTAATTATCTAAAATATTAAGATTCCTATAATATTAAGTTTCTCATTGTCTTGAGGCACTTAAATACTATATACCGTATAAGAATCTAATAAAACAATGTACAAGTAACAAAAATAATGTTAATACACCCATTATAATTATTATTCTATAGAGAAGGTTTCAGAAATATTACTATTTTTATCTTTATGTAAATGAAAATTTAAGGTACTGAAAAATAAATTTATTTTGGGCTTAAGTATGTTATGTTTAATTTCAAGACAGAAGGTGGTTTGTGTGTGATCTTGAGTGCGGAGAATATATATGGAAAGAGATTGTGAGATGATTGTGTGATGATGACTCTCTTTTGAGTTATGTGTGAGGTTGTGAAAACATACGTTTTACTCTTAACAACTAAAAGATTTGACAACTCAAATTTATGAGACAAAATTTTGATGAATTTGGTCCTTAGTGAGGACAACTGCATGACATTTTTGAACATATTTGGTTTAAAAATAAAAATTGTTTTTAGTGTACAAATTATTTACCATCAATGAATGCCACAAAATTTATACTGAATTCAAGTATTTACTGTGCCATAGTTAGGACCCTACCAAATTCACAGTCCATTTTGGTCAATTTCACAGTCATAGGATTTTAAAAATCGTAAATTTCATGATTTCAACTATTTAAATCTGAAATTTCACTGTGTAAGGGGCCTGACCAAAAAAAGCAGTTGGGGGAGGGGAGGGGGGGTCACAAGGTTATTATAAGGCAGGTTGCAGTACTGCTAACCCTTCTTCTGTGCTGCTGCTGATGGCGGCGCTACCTTCAGAGGTGGGCAGCTGGAGAGCAGCGGCTGCTGGCCGGGATAACCGGCTCTGAAGGCAGAGCCGCCACCAGCTGCAGTGCAGACGTAAGGATGGCATGGTACGGTATGGTATTGCCACGCTTACGTCTGCGCTGCTGCCTGCAGAGCTGGGCCCTCAGTCAGCAGCCGCCGCACTCTGGCCAGTCAGCTCTGAAGGCAGAGCAGAGGAAGGGTGGCAATACTGCAACCCCACTAAAATAACCTTACAGCCCCCCTGCAACTCCCTTTTGTATCAGGACCGTCAATTTGAGAAACTCTGGTCTCCCCCCATGAAATCTGTATAGCTTAGGGTAAAAACACACAAAAGACTAGATTTCACAGGGGGAAACCAGATTTCACGGTCCTTGATGCATTTTTCATGGCTGCGAATTTGGTAGGGCCCTAGCCATAGTGTTAGCTTTATCCCTGTGTTTCTCAGCAATATTTTGGTAGTATTTCTTATGTGTAATAGAAACTGCAGTAAAACAGTGCAGTAAATGCTGATTTTTTCCCATATGGACAGGGTATAAATGAGTCAGCTCATAGAGATAGCATGTGCTGTTATATTCACATGTATGATGTCTGATCATTTGAGGGGCGGAAGTCTCTGGGGAGGTTCTGTGTCTCTTGCCATAAAAAGGAACAGACAGCAGAATTGAGCCAACTTTCAATTTGGTGCATTCTGGGGCTTCCTCAGGAGTGCCTCTCAAATGTGTATAATATTTGGGGATTCCGTTGTATGCTGCACATTAGGGCAGACACCACTAAGGAATATTGAGAGAAGAAATAAAGGCAGACAAAGATTCTGCTTGCAACAAATAAGAGTGAGTTAACTGAACCAATCTCACAAAATGGGCTATGGGCTATTAAGATATGGGCTATTACTTGTACCCGTTCTTTCTTTAGCTAAGATGGTTTGTCCTTCCATAAAGGTAGTGCATATTTAATAGTAACATATTTCAGTTAATCTTAATGTAGTTACCACCCTGGAAAAATAGTTCTCTCTAGGAACAATGTCAGACTAGTGAATATAACCGTATAAATGAAACAAAAGAGCCAAATGAGAATAGGAAAGAAAAGAGCCAGTAGTAAGAGGAGGATAACAAATAAAGGTATAGAAAATGTATATAACCACTTACTGCAGCACTTTTTCCTGGAAAGTTGAAGAAGGCATCAGGACCATATTTATGAGGCATGTGTTTTAACACAGACAATAATTTTCCAGCATGTGGTGGCTATTAAAAGAAATTATCACAAATATCAAACATTTGTATTTTATTCTGATACATATTATAATGCATTTTGACACAATTCTTATCCTTCCACAGACAAACACTATGCCACCACATTACTCAGGAGAGTAATAGTCAAGGAAGTGTGTCAACTCAAAATTCATCTTAGACACCAACAGCCCAGTTCTGCTTCAGCTAACTTTTCCTACTGAATTCAGTGGCAGTAATCTCAAAATAAAACTTGAGAGCTTACATCAATTTAATATACACCTCTACTTCGATATAACGCTGTCCTCGGGAGCCAAAAAAATTCTTACCACCTTATAGGTGAAACCACGTTATATCGAACTTGCTCTGATCCGCCGGAGTGTGCAGTCCCGCCCCCCTCTCCCCCCAGAGCACTGCTTTAACACGTTATATCCAAATTCGTGTTATAACGGGGTAGAGGTGTATCAAGTGTTATAGTTATGGTTGCAGGCCAACAGTTTTAAGACTGTTTTTTCACTTGCCTATAACTTTCCAGAGGTGTGAAACTTTTAATGACTGGTCTTTCTCTGAGGTGAGAAGTAAAGAAATTCCTTTAAACTCCCTCAGAGTTACAGGGAGTGTGGGGGAAGAGGGGGAGAATGAAAATCATGTTTTTCTTGTTTTCAGAAGAAACTTCAAACTGTTTGAGCCTAGGAAACAAAAAATAATAAACTTAAAACTTCATATGAAGCCAATCACTGAAGACTAATCACTGTGCCATCTTAAAAAGGTATTTCAAAAATAAATGCTCAAAGCAAATCAAAATGATTCACACATGTGCAGAAAATAATGGGGGGAATGGAGATCACAGTTTAAGTTGACTGTCTGCAGCACTGTGGCACAGCACAAAAAGTTGGATAACTACTGCTGCAGATAGTTAAGTTTAAGATTTAGGCAGCTGTACTATTTCCTAGCAATGCAGCTATGTTTTTCTCCTCTTTTCTCCTCTGTTTTTGTTCTTTAAGAAGAAAATTAAATGCAAACAAGAGAGTCAGGAAATAAAAACATTAACACTGCAAAGAGAACCTTAACTCACTCACACTGAACATATGCAATATTTTTAACTACATTCGTCTTAAATCTAAACCTTGATACACAATATTTTCTATGTGAGCAATTTGGAGTTTTGTTTAAAAAGTAAAGTTTTAGTTGAGCATTAGCATAGGTTTTTATATTTAATAGGTATTTGTTTTTACACAGCAAGAAACCAGATCTGAGAAGCCTTTTCTCTATATTGAGCAGGTTATTTTAGGGGCCACCAAAGCAGGATTACAAATATGTTTTCAAAGAGCTTGGAACAATTCTTAAAGCAATTGCTACTTCCATCAAAGTAGCAATTCTGATGTTTAGATTCCACCTGGAGGAGAAAGTACATTTGATAGCATCAGTATCCTATGAGAAAAACAAGTTCACTTTAGGGAGGGAGGTTATCAGGGGTGTTCGGTTCTCCTATTCCACTCCAGGTGTAAACAGTAAAAAATTTATACTAGGACTTTTCACTTGGAGTTCGCTTTGGAATCAAGCGGCAAGTGATATTACAAGACTGCCTTAAATTCAGATCTTTCTACACATACCTACTTTGCTAACCGAATCAGTTTCTGCAATATTTACCCGAAAGAAAAAACGAAGTGAGAATAGACACTCTTTGGGTTGTGTATGTGGGAGGTAGTTTTTAAATCTACCTTTTTTAAATGTCTACATATTTTTTTTAATCCTCTGCTTTTTTGTTTTCCCTTCATTTCATGTAACTTAGTTATAAAAAGAAAAGCAGGTACCTACTCCCATAAAATTATTTGCAGGTATATAAAGAAGACAAGTGCGACCTTTTTGTCAGGGGGAAACTGGAGACACTAAGTATCAATATTTCTAGAGCGATCAAACGTAAATCTAATTGGTAACTTACACTTCTACACCATATATTTTATTACTAATATGCAAAAAGACATCTATTGATAATACTACTCGGGGGATCCCTACATCTTTGATAGCTTTCACATTTGGTTATTAAAAATGTTTGCAAATAGCCCTTTTTGTTTGGAAAGATTAGGAGACAGTATAACCAACATTAAGACAACAAAGTTGTTTACCCATTTTCCTTTTTCTCCTTGGAGTTTGCTGAAGAACAATTTTAGCTCCCGGACCGTCAAATTATAGCTAGCCAGCACTCCCAACATATCAACTAAGAGATCTGAAGGAAAAAATATTAAAATGATATACAGGCAGCTCTGTACATAATGACCAAATGCGTATTCTTTTATTTTGTCAATAAAAGTGCTGTGTTAAGGTTTTATATAAAGACAATCATATTTAGCTCAAATAAATGTATTCTGTTGCCATCTAAAGTCATACCTGCAATCATATTGTCAGCTTTATCAATTCTCTGTAGCACTTGTTCAACAAGCCCCACTTCTGTGCAGACTTGTAGATTCCGTATACTCTTCTTCAGGATTGCTGTAAACATGCTCCATACCTCAGCCTGGCAAGTGATGTCACATTTATCCAGCAAGTCTACCATGCAGATGATACTCTCTCCTTCTTGGATAATAAAGTTCATTTCCAGATCAAAATGTCCCCCAACAAGCTTTAAGGAAAAAAAGGCAAAGCATTAGTAACAATCATTTCCATATATCATTTTACATTTAGGACTTGCTGTGCAAGTTCCCAAGGCTGTGTGTTGAAACATTTACAGAGGTTGTGGGGCTGGATTTGGATTAGATTAGGGAAGAGGGATTGGATGGTGGCAGACCGTGAGTCCAATTGCTACTTCTGTTATGGATTCACTGTGTAGCTTTGATGAAGTCACTTGACCTTTCTGTGTTTCTGTTTGCCCATCTGTAAAAGCACTTCCCAGATAGGTAATAGAACAGCTGCTGCAAAGAGCTGACCTACCTCACCAAAAAATGTTGCTCTTTACAAACATTAAGCTGCACTTCAGGTATATTAGATGCAAAGTGGATTGAAGTACAGTATCAACTGCAATTTTACTTTGTAAGCAAAGGTTCTATGAGGTTTGGGGGGGTTATTTGTTCATTTTCAAATTATAGCACAAAACAGTTGTATCTGAATGAATGTTAATGATCATTTTAAAAGTGAAGAAACAGCAGCACTGCTTGGAGCCAAACACTAATGATTATGACTCCTCCTACAGATTTGCTAATGCACTTAAATCTAGAAAAGCAACTCTTCAGAACTTTTTGTTATGGACCTTTCTTGAGCAGAAACTGGTGCGCTTGCCACATTAGGGGGTTTCTGATGTGCACAAGGGAACAGCTACAAAGAAATCAAAACTCATCTTCACTTGTGACCTGAACTAGAATTAGAATGCAATTCTCTTGAGGCTAATGTACTAACCTACCAGTCTCACCAGGCCCTCATATTTCTAGACTTTTCTAGCAAGTTAGATTAATATGACTACAGTACTGTGACATCTTAGATATAAATTCAAGTTTGTGTTACATTTTTCCTTCCATTTATAGAAAGACTTTCTAAAAAACAAAACTAAATTTTTGGTGAATTCCGTTTCTTTAGATCTTTCAAGTATTTAGGTGGATGTCACAAAGCACTTTTCCCCTTCTTTCCTCCTCCCCTCATCTGCCTTCCTAAGAAAATAATGTCATGATTTCAATTTGAGGGACACATGAGAAAATCAAATATCTTGATACGTTTGTGGAAGGGTAGTGAGTAAATCTGAAGAGTTAGATGTGGATATTTTCAAAACTAACTAAACATGTGAATTATATTATTTGGACAGGTTTGATCAGTTACTTAGAATGACAGCTTAACAGGATCCAATTAGAAATTCAGTTGATTTCCTTCTTAAAGTTATACTGTGACAGAAGTCATCCCCCCAAAATACTTATTCTCTCTTGCCTTCCCATAAGCCCCTACAGCTCCATTCACTTGGTCAAGTTCTGAGGTCAAGTATGTCTAACAGAACAGAATTGTTGCCCTTAAACATGCTAAGTCAAACACTCAAATCACTGTAGAATATCCAAAAGGTCCTAAATTTTGTTTCCAGGTTGGAAGGAGCACCCTTCAAGATTCTGAACATAAAGCAGTGATGTCAAATTCCATAAGAAATTGAGAAAGCTAGCAAAGGTGATTGAGGTTGTATAAAGAAAAGGAGAGTTTCTGAATGACCATTTTAAAAAGTTATTTATATTTCCCTTCCATTTTCACTTTTCCTGAATTGCAATAATTTAAGTAATTAAAGAAACATCTAACAGAGTATTATCTAGTAAATTCACAGGACTGGAAGTCAGAAGATCTGAATTCTATTCCCAGCTTTGCCACCAACTTGATCTCATCTTTATCAAGTCACTCAGTTTCCCCCTTCAGCAAAATGAAGTTCACGTCTATCTTAATTCATTCGTGGTTGCCAAGTGCTTGAGATCCTTGGGTGGAATGGGATAAAGTAGTAACATCACAAAACACAACTTTAAAAAAAAAAAAAACAACTCCGAGAAAAAAGCCTGAAGACAATTGGATCAAAAACAAGGAAGCCACTCTCAAATTACTATTTTACACTGAATGCAAGCATATCACCCACCCTAATAGATTGATTGCAGCCTTCCTCAAAAGGACAGTCTCCCAAATGAAACTTTACTTTTACTTTTTGGTTTCTTAGTCATACTTTGTGCAAATACAGTGGCTATACGTTTGCTGTCAGCTAAGAGTCACACCATAGTTTTTAATTTAATTATATATTTAGTTTAACTAACCAGTCAGGAGCTATCACATCAGAACTGTACAGGTCAACATTTAGTTGCAAATAAGATGACCCCACCTTCACCCTATCACTTCTACTATCAACTCTTCATTTTTGGCTACACACACCATTAACAGTAATCACCCATCCAGGAAGCTATCAAATTAATTTTCCAATCTAACCAGTAAAAACAAATATTTCAGCAGGTATTACATTAAAAGTATATATCTAGTGCAGTCACTAGATTTTAAACATTTCTCCTTTAAGTGTTTTAAGTAATATCTTTTGACAAAAAAATTGACAGGAAAAGCAGTATACACAATGTGGACTATATTTGATATACTCTATGCATGCATACCGATTAGATACACATAAGCACACACACTCTACAGTATGTCATATTAACCCTTTCTAATGGTGATTTGGAACTGATCAACCTTCAAAACACAAATTTGTTTCCAACGACAGGGATCATAATCCAGGCCCATGCACTGGCTAGTTATTATCTGAGCTGCAGTAATGGCTGTGCACAGCAAAATGTAATCTTCCCAAATGTCACAGTAAGTTATGAATATCTGAGCAGCTTAATGCACCTTACTAGCCATGAAGTGTGAGAATGTAATCTTATTACTTTTTTATGGTTGTATTTTTTTGAATAATGTAGCCTTTGAACTGATGTATAGTCTTTCCCTGCACTTTAGCATGATTTGGTCTCCTGTGTCATACAGTACATTTTTCAAAACTCTCCAATTCAACGTATTTTAAGTCTTAGACTGAACTTCATAAACATTCTTTATAGCAACCCACAGGGTGGCATAACATTTTCTTTCTATAGGGTGTAGTATAATGTGTAAGCATACAGCAATGATTTTAAAGCATAGTGTTCTAAGTATTCTAATACATCTTCACAAATTTTACATTATGTCTTTAACATCTGCCAGTTATATTTACTTTCAGAAAAGAAAGTCATAACATCAATAGCTGGAGCTCTTCAGTAAGCACAAGGAATTTCTGCATTTGATACTTTGAGACTAGGAGGAATGTATGCACTCTTCAATTCCAAGCCAACACAAACAGTCAAGCCTTAAATGTGTTTCTCTCTTTCCTAACCTTTCTAGAAATCAGCAGATTAGGAGTGAACTGTGCACGTTAAGGTTTCCCTGTGTTAGCAAAACCTAGAGATGAGGAGACAATAAAACAAATTTAAAGATGGGAATGAAATGACTGCTAGGAATTTTCCGTCTGACTTCAGATGGAAGGAGGATTCACAAGATATAGGAAGAGCTGCTGGGGCTTGTTTATTTGGTGAAGCTACTGCCCCTAGATACAGAAATTTTCAGATTTAACACATAATTAGGAGGTTGCTCTGAATATAAAGTAGCTACCAAACTCTGCCCTACTGGAAGATCAAGATTTAAGGATCTGGAATTATAATTACAGGGCAGCTGTATATGCCACTAATGAAAACATTTAAGAAATTTCAGGTAAATAGGGAACTCCTTTCCATGCATGGTGTAGCAAAAGTAACTAAATTAAGTCTGAGACCACAATTAACTTTTGTTTAGGAACAGTCCAAATCCACAGCACTGAGAAAGCCACTGAAGTATACTAATTTAACTATTTTTTTCCATCTTCTCCTCTGAAAGTTTAAAATGAGAGATAGACATGGAAACTGAAAGAGGAAAGTAACTTTTTTTCCTCTTTTTCTGTTGCTTTCCTGTCAAGCTCCTGTCATTTACCTAGCAAACAACATAGGTTTGTAAACTTAGGGCAGGGTATAGCAAGAGTGGCATCTCCCACTCATTTCACACCCACGTTTACCAAGCTACTTTTGTATGGCCCAATTAATTTTACTATTATTGACAGTGTGATCAGAAGTGCTGAATTAGAAAAATAAGGTAATGTAGAAACCTTTATAGAGGTTAAGAAAAGTGAACCCCACATTTAAATTTCCTCTGCTGCTACATGGGGATGTCTCTCACATTGGAGTCTTGGTAATATAAGGGTTTTGGGACATGCACTGATGGGAGAGAGGGTTTGAGTTTCCTACTGACGCTCCCCATTGTGATGGTCAATATGGCACTACATTTAATTTTTGAACACAGTATGGATCACTGCACAGATAATTTTATATTCTGAATTCAAAGCTATGATTTCCCTCTTTGCGATAGCCTTAAGCATATGCCTACAACACAATTTAAGGTGTAACGGAAGTGCAGGTATGCCTACCCATGCCTGCTTTAATCTAGCCTGCATAGGTAACAGCAGCTGTCCAGATGCAGCAGCACAGGCTTCAGCATTGGCCAGCCACCCAAGTACCTGCCTACCAGAGACCCAGGCTATATATTTGAGTTATTAGCCCCTTTTGGGGGTCTGTGCTGCCATCTTCTCTGCTACACGAGCTAGACCAATCTAACATAGGTATGCCTACTGCGCTACAATTATACCTTACATTGCAATGTAGGTGTACTGTCAGAGACAATAGAGGAGAGTCACATCTTACGCGGGGGTTAGGTTCTAAAGTCAGCACGTAAGGCGAAAATCGTGTATAGTCAAACGCTCGAGTGGAATGGCGGATGGGATCGTCAAAAGGAAGAGGAAAGTTTTGCTTCTAAGGCCTGGCCTACACTACAGGGTTAGGTCGAATTTAGCCATGTTAGGTCGATTTAAAAATGAATGCGTCCACACAACCAACCCCATTCCGTCGAGCTAAAGGGCTTTTAAAATCAACTTCTGTACTCCTCCCCAGCAAGGGGAGTAGCGCTAAAATCGACTTTGCTGGGTCAAATTTGAGTTAGTGCTGATGCAAATCAACAGTATTGGCCTCCGGGAGCTATCCCAGAGTGCTCCAGTGTGACCGCTCTGGACAGCAC